CCACTGCCACCTCACAGCCTTTCCTCTTCGGGGCACCCCCGGCCTCTGCTGCCAGCTTCACCCCAGCCATGGGCTCCATATTCCAGTTTGGCAAGCCGCCTGCCCTGCCCACCACCACCACAGTCACCACCTTCACCCAGTCCCTGCCCACTGCCACGCCAGCCACCAGCAGCAGCAGCTTTAGTGGTTTCGGCAGCAGCCTCAGCACCTCCGCCCCAGCCACCAGCAGCCAGCCCACTCTGACATTCAGTAACACGAGCACCTCCACATTCAACATTCCTTTTGGCTCAAGCACCAAGTCCCCGCTCCCATCATATCCAGGAGCCAACCCCCAGCCCGCATTTGGGGCCACTGAGGGGCAGCCACCGGGAGCCGCCAAGCCAGCCCTTGCCCCCAGCTTTGGCAGCTCTTTCACTTTTGGGAACTCTGCAGCCCCAGCCCCGGCCCCAGCTGCTGTACCCGCACCTGCACCTGCGTCCACGATCACGATCGTGCCTGCACACGTGCCCACACCCCTCCAACCTGCCTTTGGCAGTGCCACACAGTCGGCGTTTGGGTTGAAAGCCGCGGCTTCAGCCTTTGGCGCCCCCACCAGCTCACAGCCCGCCTTTGGCGGCACCACTGCTATCTTCTTCGGTGCAGCCACCAGCTCTGGCTTTGGAGCCACCACCCAGACCGCCAGCAGCGGGAGCAGCAGCTCAGTGTTCGGCAGCACGACACCATCACCCTTCACATTTGGGGGTTCAGCAGCCCCCGCTTCCAGCGGGGGCTTTGGGATCAATGTGGCCACCCCCGGCTCCAGCGCCACCTCTGGAGCATTCAGCTTTGGAGCAGGACAGAGTGGGACCACAGCCACCCCCACCCCCTTCGCGGGGGGCTTAGGTCAAAATGCCCTGGGCACTGGCAGCCAGAGCACACCATTTGCCTTCAACGTGGGCAGCACGCCTGAGAGCAAGCCTGTGTTTGGAGGTAAGGAGAGGCATGGGCTTGGGCTGAAGGCCAGACTTCAGAGAGTTGTACCTGCACAGCCTGCCTTCTTAGGGACCTGCTGCTATGGCAGTGAAGAGACAGGTATTGAATATAGAGCTGAATGAAATGCCAGCTCACAACACGTTTTGATAAAATATGTAATGAGTGACTGGAGGAGCTGTTGTGGATGTAGCTGGTCATTGAAGGCTTTTCTGAGTAATTAACAATGTAAGCTGAAGGTTGGGTGTAGTGGCTCACACCTGTAATCCCAATACTTTGGGAGGCCAAGGAAGGTGGTTCACTTGAGGCCAGGAGTTCAAGACCAGCCTGGGCAAATTGGTGAAACCCTGTCTCTACTAGAAAGACCAAAACATGGGGCGCAGTGGTAACTGCCTATAATCCCAGCTACTTGGGAGGCTGAGGCACAAGAATGGTTTCAACCCTGGAGTGGCTGCAGTGAGCCAAGATTGTGTCACTGTACTCCAGCCTGGGCAACAGCAAGACTGTCTCGAAACAGCTGCGTACAAGGGTGGGCAGAGCGTGAGTGAGGATGCCTTTCCGGCACAGGATGGCACATGTGAAGGTCCAGACACAGAAACATGTTTGGTGTGTTCAAGAGCAGAGGAAAAGGCAAGCGTGGCTGGAGGGTGGAGGTGGAGGCAGTGGTGTGGAAGGAGGCTGAGAGGTGAGGGTTGTTTGTGGCTGGGGCTCAGTGTTCGGCACTTAAGTATTCAGAAAAACCACTGCAGAGTAAGTAGAAGGATGCCGTGATGGCGCCTCCCACTGGAAGATGGACATAGACCCCATGGCTTCTGTTTTCTTTGTGAAATAGAGACGATCTGGGAGAGGGCTGGGACAAAGTGTGAGAGAAGGGCCTTTGGAAAGAGTTATTTGGGACAGTGGGGGAAACGTTATTAAAAAGTATCAGTGCTTTCTAGGCAGTCTGTGGGCTGGACAGTTGTGACTGTCAAGTTCAGGTGAGGCCAGTCAGCATGGTGTGTTTCCCAGCGACACTTGGGTGTTGGGGTGTAGACCTGACGTGAGTGGACAGCTGGTGCCACCCGGCCATAGGGACCCCAGCAAGTGCAGCAGGAGGGGCAGTGGGCCAGTGCCCCGATGTGGCTCGGGGTGCAGGAGCGGAGAGCGGGTGAAGTCAGCTGCAGGAGGGGTGCAGTGCTGGCAGGAGATTTGGGAGCCGAGATTTGTGGTTATGGTGTGACTCCAGGAGTGGTGGCAGGGGTGGGGGAGAGGAGCTTATGGGGGTGGCAAGGTTGAGGGGCCGAGGATTGTCAGTCTCACAAGGCGAAGTCACCATGAGGGTTACGAGGAGGAAGCCAGTGAGCCATGGGTCCTGTGAATCAGGAAGTGACCTGGCAGTTGACAGGTTGACGTGAGGACATGGCGGCTTACGATAAAGTGATGATCTGAACTTCAGTTATGGTATTTAGGGAAGGGAGAAAAACAGTATGGAAGCAGCATGGGAGCACAGGGAGCCTCCCCTTGCCCGGGCTGGAGGCCAGGCCCTGAGAGCAGCCTTCCCTGCAGAGGAGCTGCTGGAGGGCATCAGCCAGGCAGCCAGAGTCAGTCAGGGCAAGGCTGGGGAAGGGGAGTCGTGACAACTGTGGGCACCAGGGGGCACCACAGAAGATGAGGGGATGGGACAGTGGCTGGGGCCGGGGGCCGGGGGGGGGGGCGGTGCGGGAGGCCAGAACGGAGGTGGCTAACCTGGGTATGCTAGGAGGCAGGGGCCTGGAGTACTCCCCTCTGCAGCAGGGGTCAGGAGGCCCAGGAAGCGGCTACAGGGCAGGGTTGTTTTTTCTCTGCCATGGTGTGGCCATTAGCTGGTGGGAGAAGCAGGCTGAACTGGGGCACCAGGCATGAAGACTTGGTTGTCTGGCTCAGTTGCTGATGGAGCAGTGGGCCAGGAGCAGTAGGGCCAAGGGTCCTATGAGGAAGTCCTTTGCGGAGCCCAGGCTGTTGCTCCGCTCCTTGCCTGCCTCTGCCCTCTGCTCACTGGCCAGGTCTCTGCAGCTCTCTGCTGTCTTCATTCCAGGCACCGCCACTCCCACCTTTGGTCAGAACACCCCTGCGCCTGGAGTGGGCACATCGGGCAGCAGCCTCTCCTTTGGGGCGTCCTCAACACCCGCCCAAGGCTTTGTTGGCATTGGACCGTTCGGTAAGCAGCAAGCCACCCTGTGGCCCCCTGTAGTCCCGTGGCCCTGTGATCTGTGCCTGTCTGAGGAGGGGTTGGGTGGGGTGGCAGGCTTCCGGCCCTCTGAGACCTTGTGAAGATCAGGTTCAGCACAGGAAAGACGTTAGGGTTAGGAGTCCGCCACCGCTCAGGGATGGGAGTTGGATGGCAGAGATCCGAGACAAGCTGTCTGGGCGGAAGTTCTCCATCTTATGGGAAGCCAGGTAAAAATGGATTCATGGGCCTGGCTCTGAGGCACTCTGGCAGTTTGCATTTCAGTGTTTCTCGCCCAGCCTTCCAGAGGTTCGGGCACTCAGACCCAGAGTCTCATGTAGCAGCTGCCCTGATGAGGTCTTGTTGAATTTTCCAGGAGCGGCGACCCCTTCATTTTCCATTGGTGCGGGATCCAAGACCCCAGGGGCTCGACAGCGGCTGCAGGCCCGAAGGCAGCACACCCGCAAAAAATAGCCTTTGTCTCCTGGCCCCATTTCCCCTCCCCGTCCCTAAGTCTGGACCTTGGCACCTGCTAGGAAGAGCCTTTGACCCTTCGAGTTCCATACAGCAAACCTACCCCAGATGTCTGGCTTCAGACACCAGGGGGTAGTGGCAGCCCTGGGGCCCTTTCCCTTCTGGAGGAAGCACGAACGAGCTTCAGGGATAGGGAAGCAGAACGCCGCAGGTCCAAAGCCCATGACCTTTACTTGAACAGTTCCACTGGGGATGCTGGAGAACTCAAGAAACACCTGTATATAGCGTCTGCTGCCCTGACTCCCGCTTAGCACGCCCTTAGGCAGGCGCCCCTTCCACCTTTCCCCAAGAGCCGTCGTCGTCGGAGGGTGCAGGGTTCAGCCCGCCTGGATTGCTGTTGTGCACCTGATGGGATTCGGGAAATGGGTTGTCCCTAAAGCTTTACCTTGCTTGGCTTGGCTGTGAGAAGTGGTTCTCCTCCTCTGGTCCCTTCCGGGGACTCCTACTTCCCCATTTCTTGCTGCTGTGTCCCTCACCGGTTTCCTGCAGGATTGATTCCTTTTTAAATGCCCTTGAATCTAGCTTTGCCTTGGAGACCCCAGTGGGTGCTGCTCCTGCCTTTTCCTCCTGCCAAGTCTGAATCAATGTTTAATCTCCAACCCTCTGCCAGTTTGGCCCCTCAAAGCTTGGTGGCTCGACTGTTAGCCTGGCAGAGCCAGGGGTGAGATACCTCGCTCCAAGAGGAAGAAGCTCTTGGAGCAGGCAGGATGCCCACCGCTGCTTCAGCTGCCTCCTCTCCCAGCCACCCTTTGGCCTCATCAGGCCCTCGTCTGCCTCTCCGGGATTGTATGTTTCAAGACTTGTCCTGTGTTCGTTTGTCTGACGCTCTGTGTATTGCTCTTTGAATCGAGTTTGGAGGAAGAATTGAGTTGTATGAGTGGCGGCATGTTGATAGTGCCGGACTTACTGTTTCAAGTTTTCTGGAGCCTCGCTAATTGAGTGTGGAAAGTAGCACCACTTTATGGCTACAAGTGCTGACTCCCGAATTTTCCAATGGTGTTTTGACTTTAAGGGCTGGCAGCCCAGGATGATGGGGCCAGGGAAAAGCAAAGACCTCTTCCCTCTGCAGTTTGTTTCTGTCCCACTTATGACCTCATTGGAGGCTACACCACCCAGAGTATGTGTTAGAAAACCGAAATTAATGAACCAGATTTTAAAAACCCTATTTTTCCTAAGCAGGGCCCTCTGCAGCCCATCCTTACCTTCCTTTATTCTGAAACCACATACCCCAGGCCCAAGAGCCTTGCTGCCACGCCCGACCTCTTTGGGAGAAGTATGAATGCGTGTGTCTAAATTAAAAGAAAAAAATATTTAAACATTTTTTAACAAAAATTTATTTTTATATTTAAGCTAAATTGCCTTTTAAATTCCTTCAAGCTTGGTTCATTGAGGTGGTTAAGTATAAATGCTATTGACTAGGAATTAGCTGTATAGTTAAGTTATGCCTGTGTGAAGAAGAGGCTCAGATGCTGTCCCAGGCAGCTTTCTGAGGGACTTGAGCCCCTTCTGGCCACGTTATATAAACTGTAATTCTTATTTTATAAATAATGTGATGTAGATGTAACCGGTGGCCCCTCCCCGTGGTGACTGAGGGTGAGTGTTCGGTGGCAGGGACGCTCCTGCCAGCCCTCAGAACAGCTCTGATCCTTGTTCATGCCTGGCTGTGTGTGCAGCTGAGGGGGGAGCGAACCTTAAGCCCAAATACCTGTTAGGACTGGAGGGTCGGGGTGGGCCCAGGCCTAGAAATCAAGCTTCCACCTGCACCTTACATAAGGTAGACCCTCTAGTTTCAGTACCTGAGCTAGTTTACCTCAGTTCCACAGGCAGGCCAGCCAGTCCGGGAACCCCGAGCGTGAATGTGGATGTGTACAGTATGTACACTGGACAGGAGTGGGAGGCTGGAACTTTCCTTACAGATAAAGACTTCATTCCTGTTGAGTCTAGCTGGAATTTTTAGTATGAATGTGAGATTTTTCTCCTGCTTATGTCACTAAGAATAAAAACTGTGATCTATCATAGAACACGCTCTGCGTTTTATTTCTGTGGGCAACACTTCTCGCTAGCAAGAACACAGCCCAAGGCAGGGACCCAGTAGCCTATCTGCTGCCTGCGGTGAGGCCCAGGGCCCTCCATGGAGAGGACAGGCGTCTTCCTTTCCCACCAGGAAGGAGGCAGCCCGGAGCCCCTGCTATGTGCCAGGCAGCGTGTAAGCACCAGCTGTGGCTTGTCGCCGTCTTTTCTTTCTCTTTGGGGCTGGGCCGGGTGTGCATTCTGGCGCCGATGCTTCAACCTGTGAGGCTGAGCTAGAGGAGAAGTGTCGTGTGAGATGTGCCGGGGTCAGCCTGTGTCTCCCAAGCACGCTCCCGCCCACTCACCTCGGTGCCTCAGCCCGTTCAATTACAGCAACGAAGAAGCCACCACTGAGTGTGGTCTCTGGGGAGGCCCGTAGGCAGTGCTCCGCACCTGGGAACCTGCTCAGGCCTCGGTGGGGCCAGGTAGGCAGGACAGGAGCTAGCCTGCAAGAGAAACAGGTGCGGGGTAAGAGAGCCACTCACCGCTGCCCCACGACCCTGGCACACACCCATTACCTGAAGGCGCCCAGGTTCTGCTGCAGGGCGTCTCGCACCACATCTTCATTCTCCTCCTGGCAAAGGGAGCACGTAGAGTAGACGAGCCGCTGCAGGGAGGGGAAAGTGAGCGCGTGGCACAAGGCTCGCTGCTGGAACCCTGCCAGCGCATGCAGGCGCGCCGGGCGAGGTGTGCATGCACCAGGCTCCTCCAGCTGTCTGCTCAGCATACCTAAGGAAAAGCGCACCTCAGTCCTGAAATCCCGAGAACTTTTGTCCCAGGGTCCCAAGCCCATTAAAGCGTCAGAACTAACACCAAAACTACTCCAGTTCTAGGCAGCTGTGGACCTGTGAGTCCCTCGGCCACACCTTCTCCCATCTCACCCGAGCCACTGCAGGAAGGATCCAGCAGGATGTAGCGGACCTGACTGTAGCGCGGATCTGAAGGGGAGACCGCCAGGAAGTCCTCCTCAGCCAGCTCACAGCAGGAGACGCCGGCCCGGGCCAGCAGAGTAGCCATGGACGCCAGCCGCTTGGCATCCAGGTCAAAGGCAAAGACCTTCCTAGGGAGAGAGCAGAGCAGGAGTCAGCTGAGAACATGTGGAGCAGCTACGGGGCTGCATGCTAAGTCAGGACACACAATATTGAAATGGCCTATATTTGTTTTTTTGAACTAGAGTCTCGCACTGTCGCCCAGGCTGGAGTGCAGTGGCGCAACATCCACTCACTGCAACCTCCACCTCCTGGGTTCAAGCGATTCTCCTGCCTCAGCCTCCTGAGTAGCTGGGACTACAGGCGCCTGCCACCACGCCCGGCTAATTTTTTGTACTTTTAGTAGAGACGGGGTTTCACCATGTTGGCCAGGCTGATCTCGAACTCCTGACCTCAGCTGATCTGCCTGGTTCGGCCTCCCAAAGTGCTGGGATTACAGGCATGAGCCACCGTGCCCAGCAAAAATGGCCAACATTTAAAGGGTCCAGGGTCAGAGGTAACTGGCTTGGGGTCTCTGCCCTGAGGGCTAAGGGATCCACATCTCACCTGCAGTGGGGGAAGCTTAGCTTGGGGCGACCATAAGCTGCTTTGGTGCAGCAGGAAATAGTTAAGCAAAAGCCACCCTTTCGGCCTTGATGACCCGCTGAAAGGGTAGAGGGTCAATCCCCACGCCCTCCTCCCTCTCCTGACCATGGCACTCACCCTTGGTTCTTCAGAAGAGCAGCCAAGTGACTGGTCTTATTGCCCGGGGCAGCACATGCATCAATGACGTGGGAGCCTGGCGGAGGGTCCAGCAGCATGGCTGGGAGACAGCTGGCCTGGTGAGCAGAGCACCGGGGCCAGGTGAAGAGACCCCAGGCTGACCCCTTCCCGAGCGCCCACATTCTTCCCTTTTCCATTCCTCTTACCCTACCCTGTCCTGCAGAATGAGGTGCCCAGCCCGGTACAGTGGGTGTTCATGTAGATCTGTCTGGGCGGGAAACACCAGCAACTCCGGCACCAAAGGGTCCAGGAGAAAATGCTTCCCCTTGAGGGCTCGGAGGTCGTCAACGCTGCCAGGGAAGAGGAACCATTCATTCCTCATTTCCCCAATTTCGCCCTGCCACGCCCCATTTCAACAGTTCATTCATGCAACAAATGTTCACTACAGCTACGGAAAAATAAACAGGATGAAGGGCAGTGGAATCTGCAGTTGAGGGAATGGGTTCTCAAGCCAGAATGACTAGGCTCAGGAGGCCCCTCTACTGTTTACCAGCAGTGGGTGCCTGGACAAGTGATTGAATCACAAGCCCCCCGGGCACTCCTGCAAACTAGTAGGTGTGAAAATTCGGTGATGTAATATATCCAAGATACTTACTTGGCGCAAATTAACAAATATTAGCTATTCCTGTTTAAGTATAACCTTGGAGAAAGGTTACTTTCCAGGGGGGTGAAGGGACGCAGGGAGGTGAGAGCTGAGCCCATTCTTGATGGATGAGGAGTTAAGTCACGTGAGGCGCGTAGGTTGAAATTACATTCACTATAACTTTGCAAAGGAGTACTGCCCACTCTACCTGACCCATGCAGAAATGGGCCTAGAGAGCCACATGTCTCAGTCCAGAAATCTATCGAAGTGGCTGAGCTGGAATTCAAACGCAAACAGCTGTTCTGTGCTATTCCACCCTGGTGTCCAAGCAACATGGCAGACACAGAAGGAAGAGGGTCTTACAAAGAGTGGAGGAAAGGGAGAGGGGCAGAGGCTGCTTCTCAGAGCCACCAAAGGACAAAGCAGGAGCCAGGTGTGAGCCCAGTGGAGGCGGCCTCAGGGCAGGGACCAGCCACTGTTGCTGGCACACGAGGGCGGCAGATGGGCCTGGAGAGGACGCAGGAGGGACGGCACGCTGGAGCTGAGAAAGCACTCAACAGGGGAGTGACAGCATCAGAGCTGTATGTAGAGCTTTTTTTTTTTTTTTTTTTTTGAGATGGAGTCTTGCTCTGTTGCCCAGGCTGGAGTGCAGTGGCACCATCTTGGCTCACTACAACCTCCACCTCCCAGGTTCAAGCAATTCTCCTGCCTCAGCCTCCTGAGCAGCTGGGACTACCGGCGCACGCCACCACATCCAGCTAATTTTTGTATTTTTAGTAGAGATGGGTTATCACCACATTGGCCAGGATGGTCTCGATCTCTTGACCTCGTGATCTGCCCGCCTTGGCCTCCCCAAAGTGCTGGGAATACAGAGGTGAGCCACCACGCCTCGCTGCCTTTAGAGTTTTCTACAGTAACCACAAAGAGGAAAATGCAGCAAGAAAGTCTGGACGCAGAGACCAGTCTGGGAGCTTCTTGTGGTCATCCCAATAAGAAATGATGAGTGCTTAACCTAGGCAGTGTCCAAGAGGATGAAGAGGAAGGAGTGGAGGCCGGGCACAGTGGCTCACACCTCTAATCCCAGCTACTCGGGAGGCTGAGACAAGAGTATCATCGCTTGAACCTGGGTGGCAGAGGCTGAAGTGAGCCAAAATCATGCCACTGCACTCCAACTTCAGAGTGAGACTCAGTCTAAAAAAAAGAGAGGAGTAGAGCTTTCAAGAAAGATACTGAAGGTGGAGGAGTAAATGATTGGAGGGAGAGGACGGAAGCGCCTAGGATACTCTGTTTCTGGCTTGACCGGATGGGTAGAAGATGGTGACATATGCTAGATTAAACTGGGGGAGGCACTGGGTCTAAAGTCTGCGAGGGAAGATGATGAATGCAGCAACTGTGGCATCTATGGTGCATGCGTATGAAGCTGAGGAGAGAGGAATATAAGAGGGAAGTCTACACTGGGCTGTGAGAATCACCAGGTGGGAGGCAGGAGTTAAAGCTAGAGAAAAAAGAGGGATGCAAAGAAGAATGTAGGCTGGGACTCCTAGAAGTTCAATGTTTTAAGGGATGGGAGGAGGACAAACCGTGGAGATGGAGAAACTGCTGGAAACATAGGAAGAAAGCCCAGTGAGCACAGTCACAACTATGCAGCCTCTTCTCCTCCCACTACCCCACGCACCTCCCAAGATGAGGGCAGCCGGGTTCTCACCTGGAAGCCCGACCCTGATAGGAGAAACCTTTTCTCTTGAAATAATCAACTACATCATCGGAGCAGGTCTTGAGAGTGTTGACACGGACAAATCGAGGCAGCTGGGAGGCTGGGATGCAATGAGCAGTGAGTAGGCAGGAGCAAATTTCCTGCCTCCCCCACCCCCTCCCAACTCATTCTACTCACCTGGACCAGGCCTGGATCCCACTTCCAGCAGGTCCTCATTCCGGCTCACACCCCGATGAACCTTGAGCCGAGCCAACTCAGCCTTGAGCCTTGCTTGGTGCCGGCCCAACAGAGCCTTCCATCGGCCCCCACCGCCTCGAAAGCCCTTCCCCAACAACAGCTCATACACTAGCACCTGGGGATGAGGAAACAGACAAAAACAAAAGCATTAAGCATTAATGCCTTAGGACTGACTCTAATAGAGCCCTTGATGTGGAATGGCTAAACAGATCACCTGTCCAGATGGTTACAGATAAATGTGGGGTAGTACCTTATTCAAGATCACACCAGAAATTAACGACAGAACAGGATCGGAACCTGGCGTCTTGCTTCCCAGTCCTGGACCCTTTCCCCACTGATGTTCACCAGTAGACCTCTGCACCCACTCCTTCTTGCCAACATTACCCTTTCGTTGGTTTGGGTTTTTTTGTTTGTTTGTTTAAGAATTGGGGTCTAGCTCTGTCGCCCAGGCAGAAGTCCGGTGGCCAGATCATAGCTCACTGCAGCTTCGAATGCCTGGGCTCAAGTGATCCTCCCTTCTCAGCCGCCCGAGTAGCTGGGACCACAGGCGCGCCACACCACACCCGACTTCCTTAGCGTCTCCGCCACTACTACTTTATAATTCGGTTATTCAATCCTTCACAACATTCAAAGTTACAGCATTTTCATCCCACCTCAACTCGTAACCCAGCAAAGGTCTGCCCATGCTCACTTCAGATAAAAGACTTGCTCCAGTCCCGCCGAGCACAGCAGCAGAGCCGCGACCAAATGACAAGGCGCTGACCGTCGGGACTCTCTTCCCCGCCCGCCCTTCGCCTTTCCTCACCTTGGCCAGGTGCGGCCGCAGCTTCTTCTCCGCGCGGAGGAGGCCGGCGCTGGCAATCACCGCGTCCAGCACCGCGGAGTAGCGCTGCGTCTCGCACACCAGTGCGTAAAGCTGCTTCACGTTCTGTGTGGCAGAGGGAGACAAGCTGGGTCGGCGACTCCACCGGGCCCCACCTCCCGACCCCATCCCGGCCCGCCCCACCCTATCCCAGGTTCCCCACCCCCACCCCTATTTCTCGCGCCCAGGCCCGCTACCTGGAAGTTGCTGGAGTACACCAGCCCCTTGATGGAGCCCTGGCGGCTCTCCACGCCTGCCAGGACGCCTGCCGCAGCAGCGTACACCGCCATAGTTCCGCGCACCTTTACGGCTCTGTCGCAAAGCGCACGCGGCTCTGCGCCCGCCCGGATTTCCGGGGTCAAAAAGTACGACCTTCCGGGACCGGAAGTGGCGGTCCCCCAGCCCCAAGGCGTGCGTGTGGTCGCGCGCCTGCCAGGATGGGTAGTTCCGTGCTGCGAGTCCGTTTTGCCACTTCTCCGGTTCTTCGGTCTTTGCCAATCTGATGGGCAAATAATGGGATTTTACTGCTGTTTAACTACAGTTATTGAGGTTGAATATCTTCACATGTGTATTGGTCATTATATATACATAATTTGCTTTTTTTTTTTTTTTTTTTAAAGACAGAGTCGCTCAGTAGCGCAATCTCAGCTCACTGCAACCTCTGCCTCCCGGGTTCAAGCTATTCTCCTGCCTCAGCCGCCCAAGTAACTGGGATTACAGGTGCCCGCCACCATGCCCAGCTAATTTTTGTGTTTTTAGTAGAGATGGCGTTTCACCACGTTGGCCAGTTGGTCTCGAACTCCTGACCTCAGGTGATCATCCGCCTCAACCTCCCAAAGTGCTAGGATTACAGGCGTGAGCCCCTGCGCCTGGCCATAATTATGTGTCCCTGTTTATTGTCTTATGTTCCTTTGCCATGTCTTCCGATGGCTTTCTTCTCAGGGAGGCTTTTTCTGGGTAATGGCAGAGAACGTCCCAGCAGCTCCAGGTTCACAATCTGGTTCAGGATACCTGCCACTCACCCCCCACCAGTAACCTTATCAGTCCCCAGAGCCAAGCAAGAAAGGGCATGGGGTATTTGGGTACCTGAAATGGGCCAGTTTGGCCACAGTATGTAGGTATGACCCAGGCCTCAAAGCCACAATAACGAGTTTTGTTTTGTTTTGTTTTGTTTTTAATGAGGTCTCAGTCACCCAGGCTGCAGTGCAGTGGCACCATCAAAGCTCACTGCAGCCTCAAACTATTGGGCTCAAGTGATCCTCCCACTTCACCCTTCAAGTAGCTGGGACTACAGGCATGCACCACCATACCCAGCTAATTTTATCTTTTGTAGAGATGGGGTTTCGCCATGCATAGTCTCAAACTCCCGGCCTCAAGCAATCCTCCCACCTCAGCCTCCCAAAGCAGTGATTACAGGCATGAGCCACTGTGCTCTGCAAGGATTTTGTTCTTTATCTTGAGAGAAATGGTAGTCCTCTTAAGGGTTTTAAGTCTCGGAGTGCTGCGCTCACATATACTTCTTTAAAAGATCAGTCTGGCGAGGTGCGTGGCTCACATCTGTAATCCCAGCACTTTGGGAGGCCGAGGCAAGCACATCACTTGAGGTCAAGAGATGGAGACCAGCCTGGCCAACATGGCAAAAACCCATCTCTACTAAAAATACAAAGATTAGCCAGGCATGATGGCAGATGCCTATAATTCCAGCTACTCAGGAGGCTGAGGTATGAGAATCACTTGAACCCAGGAGGCAGAGGTTGCAGTGAGCTGAGATCGTGCCACTGCACTCCAGACTGGGGGATAGAGCGAGACTCTCCCAAAAGTAAATAAAGATCAGTGTGGCTACAGTGTAGGGATATAGGATGGACAGGGACAGAGTTAAGGCAGGGAGATACCAATGGTGATCATGGCAGTGACCTAGGCAAGAACCGGTGGCCTGGACTGAGTTGGTGGAGTCAGGTTGAAGTTGGCAGTGCGACTGCTAAGTCCACAGAACTTGCTCAGGAAGGAGGACAGGTCAAGAATAACTCATAGGTTTTTGGGTTTTCAGTTTGGGCAGTTGACAAAGTGCTGGTGTGTGTTTTGGTAGGATGGGGAAACCTAGGGTGGCGGGGTGAACAATGGCCACCCAGAGACAGCAGGCCCTAATTCCTAGAGCCTGGAAGCGTCACCTTCTATCGAAGAGATCTGTAGGCATGGTGAGGTGAAGGGTTTGGAGAGAGGAGGTTATCCTCGATTATCTGGGCAGGCCCACGTATCATCACAAGTATCCCTATAAGAGAGAGGCAGAGGAAGACCAGGTGCAGTGGCTCACACCTGTAATCCCAGCACTTTGGAGGCCATGGTGGGAGGATTGCATGAGGCCCAGACCAGCCTGGGTAACATAGCAAGATCCTCTCTCTACTAAAAATTTTGTTTGGTTTGTTTTTGGGACACAGTTTCACTCTTGTTGCCCAGGCTGGAGTGCAGTGGCACAATCTCAGCTCACCACAACCTCCGCCTCCTGGGTTCAAGCAATTCTTCTGCCTCAGCCTCCCAAGTAGCTGGGATTACAGGCATGTACCACCACACCAGGCTAATTTTGTATTTTTAGTAGAGATGGGGTTTCTCCATGTTGGTCAGGCTGGTCTCAAACTCCTGACTTCAGGTGATCCACCTGCCTTGGCCTCCCAAAGTACTGGGATTACAGGCGTGAGCCACCGCACCCAGCCTCTACTAAAAATTTAATTACCTGGGCATGGTGGCAGACATTTGTCCCAGTTACTCAGGAGGCTGAGGCAGGAGGATCGCTTGAGCTCAGGAGGTCAAGGCTGCAGTGAGCTATGATTGCACCACTGCACTCCAGCCTGGGTGACACAGCGAGATCCTGTCTCTAAAAATAAACACTCAAGGCTGTGCACGGTGGCTCATGCCTGTAATCCCAGCACTTTGAGAGGCCGAGGTGGGCGGATCACCTGAGGTCAGGAGTTCGAGACCAGCCTGGCTAACACAGCAAAACCCCATCTCTACTAAAAATACAAAAATTAGCTGAGTGTGAGATACGCATCTATAATCCCAGCTACTCAGGAGGCTGGGGCAGGAGAATCGCTTGAACCTGGGAGGTGGAGGTTGCAGTGAGCTGAGATCAGACCACCGCACTCCAGCCTGGGTGACAGAGTGAGACTCTGTCTCAAAAAAA